AACATCACAAACAGGATAACACAAACTATGAGCAAAAGACCCACTCCCAAGTAAGTTTGTCAGTGTCCTTTTCCCCTCAGAGTCTTAAGTCCAGCAACCCAACAGTCACCCCTACCCACAGTTTCTGTCCTTGGTCAGTGCAGCCCCCAGAGTTCAGAAGTTCATCTGCAGAGTTTACCTCCCAGCCTGGGTGGAGGTAAGGGGGCAGCTCACATGCTCTGCGGCTTGGGTCGACGGCCGATTGCCATGCCTCTCCGCAGCGTTCTGCTACAGTCTTCACCGCCAGCTAACCTGCTGGCCCCTCCTCTCCGCTAGCTGTCTTACTAGCCATGCCTCTCTGCCCTTCTCCACTAGCCGCTCCTCTCCGCCAGCCATCCTGCTAGCTGCTCACCAATAAGTCTTCAGCCCCCCGGCATTTAACACAGCTCTCAATGCTTTCAGCTCTTAGTAACTTTAGCTCTTTAGTGATTTCAGCTGTTAGTAGGGGAGTCCCAATGCTGGCACACTCAGAACCACATGCTTAGACCTAGGAATCAGTGATTTCAGCTCTGCAGCATGTAACAAGACTCCTAATGGAGTCAAAATTAGCTCTGTTATTACACAGTAGAGAGAGGAAGGGTAAAAGTGGTGTTTGGGACCCTCAGAAGGGGCCCACACTACCAGGTACAAGTACCTGTCCCCAGCCTCTTTCAGTTCACTGGGTTTTGGAACCCATGTCCCTTGTCTAGCGAGTGCTACTTAGTTGAGGGCGAGTCCCTCGATCATAAAATACCAAGTACAGTTCTACTGTCCTTGATTCACATAACCAGGATAACCGCCCTTTATTACTCCTGCCCCAATAACAAAGAGACTGGGGATCCCAGAGCAGTCAAAGTGACCATTTGGGCAAGCAGTCCATCATGCTAGGTAGTCCCATGCAAACGAGATCAGCCCCTGAAGTCCTTTTCCACAGCTCACCACCAGATGTCGGGGAGAGGTCATTCTGATTCTGCTTACACATACTTTCAGGAGAAAGGCCTAAAGACACCTGATATGGGACCTCACCCATGGGGTGAGTCCTATAGACAAAACCAGGAGGCTCAGTAGCAATAGACATTGAGCTAGGGTCAGCCTCGCACACTCTACCAACATGGATATTAGGTTCTGGATCTTGTGGAGTACATCCGGTGATGGATAGACCATTGCAACACGTGTCTATTTCCACTGCCACATGAACGGTCTTTGTTAAGGGAGTCAAAGAGCACTTCTTGGCGTTTATCACAAATCCACGTGCTTGAAGCAGATCCAGCATCCTGATTGTGGCACGGTGTGACGCTGCCTGGGTCAGAGCGCTGATCAAGATGTCATCCAGGAAGAGATACACATCTGAGTCTGGCTGTTGTTGCCACCAGAAACTTGGTAAAGACCTTGATCGCCAACAAAAGGTGTTTGGTACTGTTAGTGGACCGTGCCTATCAATGCAAGGACTGGCTGGCTGAGAACAGGAAGGGCACAATTCACTCTCTGAAGAGCCCGTAAAAGCGGTTTCACAGATAGAGCACCACTTGAATTTATGTTGGTGTTTCTGCAACAGCTCTTCCAGGGGTGGGAGGACTGTGGGGGTAGCAGAAGAATCTATTAAGTAGGCACTGCAGTGCTGGCTCCATACCCCGCTACCTGATACCCAATCCAAGACAGGGAGAAGAAAGAAAGGCTGCTCACTACTGTCACACATACTATTTCAACCATTTTGTGTGTAAGTTAGAAAAGAAAAGTCAGGAGCAAAGTGAACTGCCACTTTGCTGCTGAAGAGGCAGAAGATCTGGCAACAAGCCGGCAAAGGGGTGTGCTACTGTTTTGAACTGACTCTGGAAACTGCAGACAGGAATGGAGTACCCCATATGTATCAGAATTGTGGAGAGACACTGAACTGCAGAAATTATTATGACTCTGGCACCTAATCACCATTCACCTTTCACATCAACAATAATATTGCAAAAGTTGTATATTTGCTGCCAAAGTCATAAAGAAAACTGAAGTCGTGATTTAATAGAGCTGTTGGTCAACTACTTAGATCAGTGTTTCTCAAACTGGGACCGCAGCTTGTGAAGGGAGAGCCCCTGGCGGGCAGGGCCGGTTTGTTTACCTGCCCCATCCGCAGGTCCGGCCGATCGCAGCTCCCATTGGCCTGCAGCGGCGAAACGCGGCCAGTGGGAGCCGCAATCAGCTGGACGTGCGGACGGGGCAGGTAAACAAACCGGCCCAGCCTGCCAGGGGCTTTCCCTACACAAGCGGCGGCCCCAGTTTGAGAAACACTGACTTAGATACAGTGTTTGTTGAAGCGGCAAACATGTTTTTTGTCTGCAGTAACCTCTTCTGCCGCTGCAGAAAGAATATTTTCTTCATTTGGACTATATAACTCTAATTTGAAAAACCAATGAGAAGTCAGGATAAGTCCATTGACTTCCAATTTGTTTCCACTGCCTGTAACTGCAGTGTCAGCTTTGCCTTTCAAGCTCTGTGGATGAAATCCTGGCTCCACTGAAATGAATGGCTGAATGCCCATTGACTTCAGCAGGGTCAGAATTCCATATTCCATTTCCTCCCACAACTCCTAGGTCTGCAAATCTAACATCACCTCTCTGTACCACTATGCATGTAGGCAAGTGTCTCATTGCCACCTCTTGAAATCCTCATCTATTTTACACACCTAACTCTAACTGTTACCAGTCCCTTTCATATTTTTTGCCTCCCTCTGCGCCCCCCTCCGCCCACAATTCATAGCAACCCGAATTCCAGCATATGAGAAACACTTCTTCCTACAAGTGAGAAGACAGAAGCATGATCACATCACCCCACACAATTCAACTGGCTCCCCATTTATTTCAGGATCCTTTTCAAAATTGCCACCTTTTTTAAGCTTTGGCTTTATTCAGCTGAGCTCACAGATCTGGTGTCTGTCTGCTCATCTACCATTAGCCTTCTCACTGTCCCATCAGACATTCTGGTCCCCACCCAACCTTCTCATCTGCAACTTCTTCCATCTGGAACAGACTGTCCTAACACTGTCTAATTGATTCTCCATCTAATGTCAAATCTCAACCAAAAATATATCTTTTTTCCCTTGCCTACAGAGTACTTCGACTTCTCTCTCCTCCTGCTGTTGGTTAATCCCTGTAGTTGGGTTAACATTCTAAAATGTTTGGGAAGCAGGATGAATGAATGACTACATAAAAACTCAGTTATATTATATTACTGACTAGGGAATAGAAAAAGGAGGTCTTGTGTTTTCTAACAAACAGAACAGGCAACAGATTTACTAGGGGCCCACTTCATCTTTCTATCTTCAATCATCTCAACATGTAGATATTTAGACAGTACTAACAGCCATTCTACAATCTGACTTTGAAATTCTACTCAACCAAGACAAAAATTTTGTGACAGACAAGTGGTAAAGCGTGGGCAAACACATTTGGTGCCTCAGCAGCCAATTTGCATGACACTGCTATATGGCTGCCACAGTGCAATTTATAGGATTTTGGCTTATTTAATAAAACAGACAACTGACACATACATGTGTTATGAACAGGACCGGCTTTAGTCCCCAGTACCTCCTGCCATCCCACTACTCCACCCCTTTCTACTAAGCCCCTCCTCTCTCCAGGGTCAATCCTCAGCAGCCTCTGCCATCCCACTCCTTTACCCCTGACAGCCCCCTCCATCTCTCTCCAAATCACTCTCCAGCATCCCCTACCACCCCACTACTTCACCCCCTGACAGTCCCCACCCCCTCTTAAGCCACTCCCCAGCACCTCCTGCTATCCCACTAGTCCATCCCCTTGCAACCCCCCCCCCAGTGTCACATCCCCAGCACCCCCTGACATCCCACTACTTCAACCACAGCCAGCAACCCTCCTCTCTGCCAGGGTCACATCCCCAGTATCTCCTGCCATCCCACTACTCCACCCCCTTGCTACCACTCCCGTCCTCTCTGCAGGGTCACTCCTCAGCACCCCCTGACATCCCACAACTTCACCTCTGCCAGCCCCACCTCCGGATCACTCCCCAGCACCCTTAGCCATCCCACTACTTCACCTCTGCTAACCCCTGCCGTCACTCTCCAGCACCCCCAGCCATCCCACTACTTCACCTCTGCCACCCTACCTTCCAAGTCACTCCCCAACACCCCCAGCCATCCCACTACTTCAGCTCTGCCAGCCCCCCCGTCACACTCCCCAGCGCCCCCAGCCCAGCCCCACTACCTTCACTT